GATAAAAGAACTTTGTTCTTCACAAACATTCAAACTTTCAACATTATCATGCTCATTTACGTGGTTAATGTTATCATCAAAACGATTACCAGAGGTAGAATTTTCATTAGTTGGTACTTTTCTTATCACAAATCTATCTAAAGCACCTTTTTGTGATTTATCAAACAATTCTGCTTTTCTTTTTTTTCTCTTTTGACACCCAGACAAATGTGTCATGACAAAATATCAAGTAAAAAGGAAGAATAACACTTGGATTAGGAAGAAATCATATTTAAAACTTCCAAATTACCAGATCCTGTGTGTGACTCCCAGGCAAAATATCAAAGTAAACCTGAAATTGGATAGAAATACAAACTTAGTTCTGTTTATGAAAGCAAAACAATATATCTTAATCCGGATCCAGAACAACAACACAACACTAACCAAGATTTTGAATCCGAAAAGTTTTGATTTTCTTTTCCAGAAAGTTATAGAAAAATAAAAAATTTCTTGATAGCTTAAGAACTTAAACTGAAAATTTGACAAAATTAAAGATAGAAACCTTGGATAGTTGGACAGTTGTGCGTAGAAAGTTTTTTAGAAGTCGGCGTTCTCTTTTTTTTTGGTGGAGGAGATGATTTTTTTTTTGAAACTGATCTGTAGAAGAAACCCTTAAAATTTATGATATAGGCTATAATAAAATTTTTTTTTCTCATTTTGGGGCCCCATTTTTTCATGAGCCCATGGGCATTGCACCACCTGCCCTCCCCCCTTAAGCCGGCCCTGCCCATCTATAGTAATTACAAGATGCTATTGAGACCTCTAAAGCTATCCATATGTTCCAAACGTAAGCAGTTTAATAGTCTAAATTCTTTCGTATCTCCTCTGTTATGCATTAATTTCTGATTCATATTCTCCATGTTTTCGTTCTCTTCCCATCTGCTAAGATTAGTCCATCTTCTGTTATCGTTTGTGAACAAAGAAGAATTTGTGAAATACTTTTCTCAATTAATCACAAAACAATATACAAGGTTTATATACACTTGATAAACCAAAATGTAAACTATAACCAAAACCCGGTACACTAAACCGGTATATACATAAACATATGAGTTTAATAG